CATTGACAGCCCAAATTTAGCCTTGTTTTAGCCAAGCTGTCTACGTTTAGATGTATATTAGATGTTTATAAAACACAAAATTGTTTGCTGGGTACTTTTTGATTAAATATTTTGATGATTCTCTGGTAAACACAAAACATCGGCGAAAAAACTCGACACATTGGACCGTAAAAAACCTCACTGACTATTGTTTCTGAGTTTATTTAATGCCAGAGCAGCATAGACAGATCATAGGAGTATAAATGATCACAACATCATGGGTTATATGAAATGTATGTACTGGAGGTTACATCGACCACTCAACTGTTGTAGGAGGAGACTATGGGAACAAAGATAATTAAGAAGTCCAGTGGAGCCAAACGTGTGGAGGTCTGAATGTCTGTGATAATACAACAGTTATGTATTGAAGCAGAACCCAGTGGATGATGGACAATGGTGGAATTGAGAGATCACAAAGCCAAGGTGATGGCAATGGGTATAGGCCTAACACCAAGGTCAAGCCATTAACTTGGTAGCACAAGGCAAAGCTGGAGCCAGCAGAAGGGAAGGAGCTAAAACAGTAGATGGAACTAGTGAAGACAAAGAAACTTAAATGTTGGACAGAAAAAAAAATGGGAAGCCAATGTCAGGCAGAAACAGCATCTCCATATGTATCCGGATAGATCTAAAAATATGCCACATTTGGTCTTTGATGGAGTGATCATCCTGTTTGATGAGGAGTTGAGCAGCCGTTTGATTTCATGTGCTCTCTGCTCTGATGTGTCACGGTGGGAAGGTAAATGAGGATGAGTGTATTTGAGTGGAATATAATGTACTTTTACTTAGAAACAAAAATGCACATACAACTGGAAAAAAAGTGAAGAAGATTGTGATACAATAGTGAAGCATTAATTTAATCCCTATTTTCCACTGACCAAAAATCATCCACCCGCACAGTTGGACTCAAACTAAAATATATTTCTTGGAAAAAAAAGTATTTTTAAAATAAATTTCGTTTAGTTGAAGTCAGAAGTATTAGCCCCCCTGAATTATTAGCATTTATTTTTTCCCCAATTTCTGTTAAACGGAGAGAAGATTTTTAAAACACATTTCTAATTATAATAGTTTTAATAACTCATTTCTGATAATTGATTTATTTTATCTTTGCCATGGTGACAGTAAATTATATTTGACTAGATATTTTTCAAGACACTTCTATACAGCTTAAAGTGACATTTAAAGGCTTAACTAGTTTAATTAGGTTAACTAGGCAGGTTATGGCAATTAAGCAAGTTATTGTATAACTATGGTTTGTTCCGTAGATTATCGAAAATAATTAGCTTATAGGAGTTAATAATTTTATCCTTAAAATTATGTTTAAAAAATTAAAAACTGCTTTTATCCAAGCTAAAATAAAACAAATAAGACTTTCTCCTGAAGAAAAAATATTATCAGACATACTGTGAACATTTCATTGCTCTGTTAAAAATCATTTGGGTAATAGTTAAAAAAGAAAAAAAAATCAAATGCGGCTAATAATTCTGACTTCAACTGTAGTTTGTCTCTTTAGTGTATACTGTTTAATAATCAATTTAAATTATGTCATAAAAAAAAAAAAAAACTGCTTTAATTCCTGCTCTCTAATGGTAGGTACGCACAGTGCGTATAGCCGTGCGGCTGCAGGCGCCACTGGTTGAAACTGCTGCTTAACAGACATTTAACTGACTATAAGAAACTTTGCAAATACATATCAACTTACACTAACCCTATCCCCACCCCAACCTAACAGTCTACTTATAATCTAATTAGAATTAGTTATCATGTAAATGCAATGCAACTTAAATTCAACATACGGACCCTCAAAATAAAATGTGACCTTTTAAAATTGCAACTACTGTATTGCACAAAACAGAAATAGACTTCATAAGAAAGCAAAACAAAGTTTTACAAAAACTAAACACTAACTATACACAGAAGGAATAAGATTACAAAAACAATAAAATTGGTTAAACTTAAAATGAAAATAAATAAGGATTATTCGACAATTAAACTGTAATATTAGATAACACTGATTCACACTAATGAGCAAGTAAAAAAAATAAGACAATGAAAAAAGACTTGGAATTACAGTTCAAAACAATTGAAAACATATGCTCTGGGATAGAAAATATAGCTGTAAATGGGTTATGTGCATACAGCCATTTTGTTGGTAGCCTTTTCCTTTCTAGATAAGATCCAAGCATGACAAAATTTTTTTGCAAGCAAGTAAAGCATAAAACACTAGGCATAGATATGCTACGCTGCTGTGGTTTGATTACTGGTGCAGAGCAAGTACAGAGACTTGCTACTCCCAATATATTCACAGTCATGTCTTAGAATAACACACTGCTGTGGCAAACATAATGTACATGTAGGCCTCAACAAAGCAGGATAACAAAAAGACGAATCAAAACCTTTGGAAACCTAATTATGTGTAGAAACAAATTGTTGAATTAGCAAACATGCATATATACACATATAAGAGCTGATTCAGACAAGATGAATGAAATAAACATAACAGGATTTTTTTCAAGATTGATCCATGGGGCCATATGTTTTACTATCTTTGTGTGCCTGGACTACTATACCTTATCGAATGGCTTAACACTACAACACTAGACTGTGCATCTTGGCTTCTTTGTCAACCAGCTTTACATTAATGTACTAGACTATGAGTACTACCTTGCCAAATGACTTAACACTAGTGTACTAGACTTTGTGTGCCTGGGCCACTTTACTGAATGGCTTATCACAAATGTATTACACTGTGCACCTTGGCTACTTTGCCAGCCGGCTTTACATTAACATACTAGACTATGTGTACTACCTTGCCAAATAGCTTAACACTACTGGACTTTGTGTGCCTGGGCTACTTTACTGAATGGCTTAACATTACTGTACTAGACTGTGCTTCTTGCCTACTTTGTCAACTGGCTTTACACTAAAATACTATATGAGTGCCTGGGCTACCTAGCTAAATTGCTTAAGTAGTCAAATGGCATAAAACTAGTAGCTTACTACAATGTGTACATGGGCTACCTTGCTGACTGGTTTAATGCAGCACACACAAAATACAGCACACACAAAAATCCTGAATCCTGCCTCATTACATTCTTTATACATACAGCCACAGAACACACAAAGCAACTCGCTACAGCCTCAAATAGTGTACATGATGTGTATGTAATGGTGCTCTTAACTGTGTGACAAATGAAGAAGTGATTTAAGATTACACATTGTAAAGACAGGATCCAAGACCCTGCATAGGCTACCACTCGCATCCAAGTGTATCTGTCTGCACACTGCAAGACAGGGGCGTAACATTAAAGGGCGAAACTTGTATAAGTTAGAGAGGTGTAACTTGCAGTTATCGAGATCTTATTGAACCAAGCGAGATATCACACCGAGATGTTGTTGACACGAGGGTGGAAATACTTAAAAGAGAATATTTTCCCAAATAAGTTCATGAGCTTTCTCAAGATTTATCCACAACCAATTTAGTAATTCCACCATCCAACTCACATCCGTTTTGTCATGACAATTAGCCTACTCAGCATCACCCTCCTGGGGTTGGAAATAATAGTACAATGGCAAACGTGTCTAGTATAAAGTGGTGTAGACATTAATAAGTGTGATGTTTGGGTTTAGGGTTGGGGAAGGTGTAGACATTAATAACTGTGAAGGTTGGGTTTAGGGTTGGGAAAGGTGTAGACATTAATAACTGTGATGTTCGGGTTTAGGGTTGGGGAAGGTGTAGACGTTAATAACTGTGATGGTTGGGTTTAGGGTTGGGAAAGGTGTAGACATTAATAACTGTGATGGTTGGGTTTAGGGTTGGGAAAGGTGTAGACATTAATAAGTGTGATGTTCGGGTTTAGGGTTGGGGAAGGTGTAGACATTAATAACTGTAAAGGTTGGGTTTAGGGTTGGGAAAGGTGTAGACGTTAATAACTGTGATGGTTGGGTTTAGGGTTGGGGAAGGTGTAGACGTTAATAACTGTGATGGTTGGGTTTAGGGTTGGGAAAGGTGTAGACGTTAATAACTGTGATGGTTGGGTTTAGGGTTGGGAAAGGTGTAGACATTAATAACTGTGATGTTTGGGTTTAGGGTTGGGAAAGGTGTAGACATTAATAACAGTGATGTTTGGGTTTAGGGTTGGGGAAGGTGTAGACATTAATAACAGTGATGTTTGGGTTTAGGGTTGGGGAAGGTGTAGACATTAATAACTGTAATGGTTGGGTTTAGGGTTGGGGAAGGTGTAGACATTAATAACTGTGATGGTTGGGTTTAGGGTTGGGGAAGGTGTAGACGTTAATAACTGTAATGGTTGGGTTTAGGGTTGGGGAAGGTGTAGATGTTAATAACTGTGATGGCTGGGTTTAGGGGTGGGGAATGTGTAGACGTTAATAACTTTGATTGCTGGGTTTAGGGTTGGGGAGTTTCTTCAGTATACAACCCTGCAACTGTGAGGGGTAGGGTTATGGGCAGGGTAGGTGCATACGTTAAAATCCAATAGTTTTATAGAGTGCATGTGTAGTCAGTCTGCAGCCAGATCCTTCTCACTCAAGGGCAAACATTTGAAATTGTTCAATTGACATTTAGGTTTAAGTATTTAGCAAACATTTCTATCTATTAGTGATCTCACTGTGAACACACACTGGAGCAGTGGGCTGCTTAGTAAATAATTGGGAGTTGGGTACCTTTCTCAAGGTACTCACTTCAGTCGCAGTATTGAGGATTGAAGAGTGTAGATTATTCACTCCTCTCTCCTACAATCCTTGCCAGTGCCAGGACTCGAACCTGTGACATTTGGATCATACGCAAGTTAAACTGCACAACCATGTAGGACATGGCTGACATGTTATCTTTAGGTGCTTTAAGTTCCAAGAACATCACATTTCAGCTTTCACACATTTTTATTCACCTACCCTCTTACCCTCATGCAATACACATCTTTAATAAAAAAAGACAACTACTCTGATTTAAAAGATATATTTTATTGTCATGGTCCAAAGGTCAAAATGTGTCCATTTGCCCATGAATTTAGTTCTTCCTGTGGTATTTGTCTTCTATTGATATTGCACTTTTAATGACTGAACAAACAGTTATTTAATACACATCTATGCTTTGGCACAGTTGCCTTTTCATATTAATACAGCCATTTGGCAATAGTGTTCTGGTAAAATCAAAACAAAGATACATATTAGAGTTAGCACACAATGCATTCAGAGAAACAGGTATGAAGTTAACAGAAAAAGGCTTATTTTGTTTTGCTTTTGTTGCTATTATTCCACTCATTTTATCAAACATTGATATACCAAGCCAGTACATAAATATTAATGATTTTTTAAAAAAGGCTGTTACATAATACCGTTTCATAATACAATAAAATAAGAGCACCCATAAAACCAATAAGAGTTGCAATGCTTTATACTGTAATGCTAACTCATGATCTCATTTGATATAATTTTCTCTTAAAACATAACATTTTCTGTAGAACACAAATTTTGGATAATGTGCTCTATTTTGTGCAAAATAAATTGGGATTGTACCATATTCCAGTCATTTGAGCCCTTTTTTTGAGGAGTAATCTTTTTACTTAAATGTATAATGATATGTGTGTATTGGCGACATAATGTAATACTAAATTTAACTACAAAATAGCACAAAAATATAGGCATCAAACCAAACGTGAAATTTCAAAGGCCTCACTACCTCTTTTTCCTCAAGGTGACTTCCCATTATATTCCCTAGTACTGTTTGAGGTAGAAACAGATATGTTGACACCTACATTGTCCACGGCAGATTCACCACTGTCTTTAGTTTTATAATATACCACATAGAATATTGGTAGGACAATGCCAATGAGTAGCATGGCGATAACAGCATTCCACCACTGGATCCCCCAGTCTGCACCATTACTGCGCAAACGCTGGCTTCTCCATCCCCATCCTCTAGATACCCTGGAACTTGCAGAAAACACTTCTTCTACATTGTCTGTGTTTTGGATCAGACGCTCAATATCATTGTCCACCTCTTTAAGATAATTGGTGTATTCCTGCACTTGGGGTCTTCCTGATACACTTGCCATAGCACTGTTTGATGGTGCTGCATCATGGGAAGGTCTCTGCTGGGGCGTCCTGAGCTCAGAGATGGCCTCAGTTAGCAAGCCATGCTTTCTTACTGGGATTTTGATAGACTTCAGTGCATACATATCCTGCTCTTGAAAAAGGTTGTTCACCCTTTTTATGTCAGCCACCTGGAAATCGTAAAAAATAATTTTTTTAAATGCCCTTAATCTAATCTATACAAACAATTCTGCTTACACTCTTAAAAATGAAGACTCCAAAAGTAAACCTGGATCTTAAAGAATATGATCCTGTGCCAATTTTTTTTTTTTTTTGTTTCCTGCATGCTTTGTGGCACGTTTAAATTAGATGGTCAAGTAAAATATGTATTTATGTTTCTCAGAAACATTTAATTACACTTTTTTTTTGTTTTATGCGCACATAATGGAAGTTAGAAAATAAAAATTTTGATTAGAGACACTGAAATGGGTCTTGTTAGGTTATGCTAAAATGCTATAGTATCTTAAACATTTATTTTTTTTATGCACACTGTACATATGATAATGTCAAGATCCTAGCTGTGTCCCAAATGGCACACTATACACTATGCACCCATGCACTATGTACTTATGCACTTATACACTCAACAGCATAGTATATGTACTTAGTGTCATCCCAAATGGAGCACTAATGTTTTTTTACTAAGCGGAAATTTAAACCGTTTCCCTAATGACGTTTGCCGGTTGCCAAATCTGAAATAAATGACCAAACTAACAAATGATACCTGCCATAAATAGAACAGCATTCACCATCGGGAGGTGCTATAATCACTCTCGTAGAAGAATTTTGCTTTCATCATCCAAAATAAATAAAGTTATTCAACATTAGCGCCCGATAGCTTCGCCCCTTCCGCTAAATGAGCAAAGCTGCAGTCGTTGAGTGTGTGAAGTGTCCATCATTATACACTTCATTTTACCAGTTGAATAAGTGCATCATCCAGGTATTTAAAGTGCACTTATTATTTTTAGAGTTTTCAGTGTAAACGCACTACTTACACTATTTAAACTACAAAATGGAGTAGTGCATAAGTAAGTGATTTGGGATGCACCTCACATTTCCATAGATCTGATAAATCGACAACAAGGCCAGTAGGTGGGGATGTTACTTCTTAAGAAAACACTATACAATACAGTCCTGTGTTGCACCACTGTTGTTTTGGTTTGTTGCCTTTAGACTAAACACACAATATCTATAGGCATAATGCTATAATGGCATAACACTATTGTTTTTAATTATTTATTTAAGTTTTTTTTGTTGATTACAAAAAGATAAAAATGACATTGTTTTTTTTATTTTATTTATTTTTTTATCCGTTTAAAACTGTAACTTTACATTTTAAGGTGCCCCAAGCACTGCTGTTGTGCAAATAAATGGCCAATACACAAATATTATTAGTTTGTAACAGTGCCTATGTTTACATAGATATCATTAAACAAATGATTCATCTTAATCTAAATAAGACAATAATATAATGAAGGTGTTTAGATGAGCTATTTTTGGAATGCACTGAAAAAAAGTTTTGCATGCAGAACTCTTGCAAACAATTTATTTGTGTTGAATTTCAACAAACAAATTAAGTTTAATAGTATTTAACTTAATCCGTTTGTTTGAATTCAGCCCAAATAAATAGTTTACAACCACTTAACATAAAAAATGTAAGTAAACCCAAGGAATCATCTTTGAATATTTTTTTTCCAGTGTTCTTTTCATGTTCCCGTTATATATATATATATATATATATATATATATATATATATATATATATATATATATATATATATATATATATATATATATTTTTTTTTTTTTAATCTATATACTTTTTTTTCAAAGTGAAAATGTGCACTTTAATTTTGACACCCACAGACATTGTCACCAAATATGAATTAGAAAGGTAAGACTTTCTCATACATAGCCTTATTTCAGTTGTCAAGTTTTGTAAAAATCTATCTACTGAATTAATCAATCTATTTAAAAAAAAGAAATAAATAAATTAAAAAATAAAAAAAAAACGTTGGCTAGAATTCTGCATTATAGGCTTCAGTTATAGAGAAATAAAAGATGAAGCTAGACTGCAGTCTGATCATGAAGCAGATCAATGTTGATCTTACTTTCGAGGTGTCAGTGCAGAAATGAGCAAAACAATAGGCCTACAAAATATTATAAGATTAAAATATGGAAACATTATCAGATGGTAATTTGTAAATTTTTCGAACGGATAGACAGCACTCAATAATATTTTAGCATGCTTTCACTTTTGTATTCAACATGAAACACATTTGTCGGTAGGAATGACATCCTGCCCTACTCCTATTTCTCTTTTCATATAGCTGTATATATGGCTTTACACAATTATATTGCACTGTGATATAGATTGGTTTACTAGTTTGTTTTATCGGTTTGCTTTCTCACCACAATCAATCCGCTCCAGAGTATATTTCAATTGAGCCCAGACCACCTCATGTTGGCGATCTTAGACCGATTGCGGGACTCACATATGCCAAACAAACTGCACAAACTGGGCAAATGGAACAGGTTCCGAAACAAATGTCTAGGTGTGACAAACAGTTGCAGCAAAATAAACTTTAGTTCAATCGGACCAGTAATGATCCCGTCTACTGTCTGAGCATCTCGTACACTAGCCCAAAACCATTAGGCAGTACTTACTGTCGAGCCCTGCCATACAGACTGATTAACATAATTATATCATTACACTATCCAATGGTTCCTCTGCATTTTTATGTAATTTTAGGTGTTTATTTTATTTTTTTACTTCAACTGTAGTTCAGCTTCAGTTTCAACTCCAGTTAATGCCCCTACAGCAAACTCGAAGGTACTAGATGCTGGTATGAGGTAGGGACTGGTGAGAGAGATTTGTTTTAATAAAATATGATGATACCAAATAAAAAAAAGATTTCTGCATTTCCCAGACAGCATTTGTAAAATTGTGTTCACTGACAGAGTGTTAAGGGTCACCAGGAGTTCACACTGCAAAGTTGTCAATCAATGTTGAGTTCAAATGTTATCACGTTTATGTAACATACTGGCCTTTTCTAGTTGCATTCTTCACACCCACTCTTAAATCCTGTAACTATACCATATTGTACCTGGTGAGCTAGTGACCAAGTTAACTACTGTATGTCAGAAATGCCATGGTGCAGAAGTATCTGAATTGTTACTATAACTTGCCTTTTAAATCATAGTTTATATGAAAAGGAAACAAGTTGTTGCTGATTTATTTAGAAGGGATTGTACTAGTTTGAATGTTCAAATTGAAGTTTTGTATTCGACTAGTTGACTGAGCTCAAATCCCCAAAAGGTTTATCTTTTTAACAAAAAATCTTTGCTAATATACAATAGCCCACAACTAGCTCCTTGTCTGCACATTAAAAGGAGTGCCTTCCCTGTATTAGGTTTTAAAACTCATCAGCAGCAAAAATGATTATCTTTTAAACTGATAGTCCGATAGTTTTTGCTGTTTTGAAGACATTTGAAGATAAGGATGTTTGTAGCCTGCTGATGATTGCAGTCTAAAGTGACAAGACATAAAGCCTGGCAGATAAAATAAAGCAATGTTCATCTTGATTTACAAATGCTAATACAGTGATGACATTAGTGCTGTAGTTCCAAATAAATGTTCAATAATATAATAATAATAATAATAATAATAATAATAATAATAATAATAATAGTAATAGCCTAATTTTTATTTAATAATTACATTTTAAGCACATATGTCATTGTTTTGAAATTTGTAAAAGATATTTTTTGTGATTTGCTGATGTTTAAGTTCAAAGTAAATAAAAGGTTTAGTTGTTGTGATATTAAGCATATTATTGTGTCTGAAAATCAAAATACTAGTTTAAATTTTGAAAGTCCATTCCACACGCATCTGTTCCTTGTATGCACGTTATAAAATCATTTATTCATTCATTCATTCATTTTCTTTTTGGCTTAGTCCCTTTATTAATCAGGGGTTGCCACAGCGAAATGATCCACCAGATTATCCAGAACATGTTTTTTACGCAGCGGATGCTCTTCCAGCCGCAACTCATCACTAGGAATTAAAATCATTACCAAAGAAAAACATTCTTAATTCTAATGTCTAATATTTTAATTCTACTGTATTTATTATATCTTAGTTACATTATTTAGAAGTTTAATTTCAAACGTACATGTTACAGCGCACTTCTAAAAGAATGTACTTTATTCCAGCTGTCCAGGTTAATATAGGCCAAACATTGCACTGTGTGTGTGTGCCCCAGAACGACACCGTGGCTCAATGGATAACACTATCGCCTCACAACAAGAGGCTCACTGGTTCGAGTCTGATCCGACAAGTTTCTCATGTCACTGCGTTCCAAAGTTCAAGCTTGGTGATGGGGAACTCTGAACTGTGAAATCACATCACGTGATTGCGTGAGATCAATAGACCATCAAAACATGACCTCTCTGTACATCAAATTGAAATATGTCTTTGTTTTGCACTGCAAAAAGCGATTAGTTGACTTTACCTTAAGAAAAGAGAGTAAACTTGTTGTCTTAAAATTATTATATAAACAACCAATGTGCGGGGCAGCACGGTGATGCTGTGGGTAGCACAATCACCTCACAGCAAGAAGGTCACTGGTTCAAGCCCCAGCTGGGTCAGTCGGCCTTTTCTGTGTGAAGTTTGCATGTTCTCCCTGTGTTTTACGAGGGTTTCCTCCGGGTGCTCCCTCACAGTCCAAAGAAATGCGGTACGGGTGGATTGAATAAGCTAAATTGGACATAGTGTATGTGAGTGTGTGCAAGAGTATGTGGGTGTTTCCCAGTGATGGGCTGCAGCAGGAAGGGCATGCGCTGCGTAAAACGTGCTGAATAAGTTGGCGGTTCATTCCGGTGTGCCAACTCCTAATTAATAAAGGGACTAAGCGAAAAAGAAAATGAATGAATGAATGAAACTGTGCATAATTATAAAAGTTAAGTCAATGGGTTTACTGATGTTTTCAACTTGTTGGTTTTACTGCAAGGCAATGGATTTACTCTCTTTTTTTAAAGTAAAAAACTAATAAACTTTCTAATAGTGTGTCTTTGTTTTGGTCTCTATAACCCACGCACAGCCAGTTTACCAAATAAAATTTCTGCACTCCGGGTTGTATTTGTAAAAAAACTTCATTTCCATCTTGAAGACTGCTTCAATACGAGTGCAACTTCTACAGGACAGCAGCAGCCTCCGAAATAAGATGCAGATTCAGACTTATAAAAATTCCACAGCTTGTTTTTTTATTAGCTACAGTATTAATTAGGGGTGTCACGATTTCGATGTTTAATCGAAATAAATCAAAATTTATGCTCAATTTCGATTATCGAATCAAAAAATAGAATCGTCGATGTTGCCACGCCCCCATGTCACGTCAGCTTAGCTTGCCAAGCGGGAAAAAAACAGGCTTGTTGAAGTGCTTGTTAAACTGCAGAAGCAGGAGACCCGTCGACAGAACTTAAACCCTCTCTTCCAATGAAGTCGCCGGTGTGTAAGCATTTTGGATTTCCAGTGAGTTATGTTGACAACGTTCGTGTTGTCGACAAAAAAACACAGTTTTGCAAGCTCTGCTATGTACGTATTACGTACGGTTCGTCCGATAGATAACACCGGCATCGCGATCCTCCGCCCGCCCCCGTTGCAAATCCGCTCGCGAAAAGTACACACTCAGGCCCTGTTTACACTGTCTTTGTTTTTAAATGGCATTTTAGAACGACAACGATTTGACATCCACAGTGGCGTGTGGCATTTCTGAGCAGCCCTCTTTCCTCTCTACCTCTGAAATTGCACACCACGTGACCACACAGACGCCATACAGCCTTGCGCTCGAGACAGCAGGTCCAGGCAGTCAGATGACTGCTTCAATTTTTCACTCACTTGTACTTAGTCATTTTAGCGAACACCTCAGATACTGTTGACTGGTTCCTTTTGGTTGTGCCTCTTTTTTACCGACGCCATTATAACGACACAGATCACTGCCTATTCATGAGTCCCGCATAAAAAGTGATTGACAGGTGGTAATTATGTGTGTATCTTGCCTTTATTCATTTACTGTATGATTTGTTCATGGGTAAAACAAAGACCATGCAGGTCAGGTTGTTTAAACGGCAGGCTACAAATAATTAATTGGTCATTAATTAATTAATTATTCATAATCGAAAATCGAATCGTGCCTTTAGAATCGAAAATGTAATCGAATCGAGGATTTGGAGGATCGTGACACCCTTAGTATTAATACAAATATTAAAAATTTTAACATTAGCTGAGCAGCATACATTATAACACTATGTCCCAACAACATGTCACATGACAAGACTGCAGCGACAAGCAATTTGACTCTCTGTACCAGATGCAACACGTCAGAAATATTTAAAAACCATTCCGAAGTATAGAATAGTGCACTCACTGCACTCCAACGTAACAGTAATGTTAAGAATCTAATTAATACATATTAAACTTTAACCTTATTAAAAAGTACATGCTGATCGACTGATATTTGTTGGTTATTTGTTGCAGTTCTAAAATTTATTTTCAAATACACTTATTTTATTTTCAAGATCTTAGGTAAACTATCTGTTGCTGGATTTAGTTTGACAATAAATGTCATGTAAAATTATGTTCCAGCTCACACTGCTAGCTCAACAATGAAAAAAGCACATCATCAGTACCTCGGGTAATCATTTCCATAGTAGTTTAGACTGCTGTTCAGACACAAAATATAGAAACTGTTTCTAAAATAGAAATTTCAGATGATGATTTGGACAAAGACTCATTTAACAAGGTAAAGCTTCCTTTTTGTCGCATCACTCGCATGTTGTTGCTTGTGGTGTAGGTTCGTCAATCTGGCACTCATCAATCTGGCAACCTGCGCTTGCATGGAGTCTTCGAAGAAGTGCAGGGTGAAGAAGTGTTTTGAATTAGGAGTGTAATATCTAGTTCAACCACTGGGCTACATACTGCACCTTTAAACTGTAGGACTTGATTAACTTGAACAGGTGTGTTTAATTAGAGTTGAAATTTGAAGTTTCCTTTCAGAAACTAATTTTAACACTGCTGCCATACAATAAGCATTTTCGTTTTCCAAAAAACCTTTTAGTGAGCTGTTCATAAAATATTGTTTTTTCTTAACATAAAGTACATTTCAATAATATAAATTTATTTTTTTTTTGCTTTTGAATAAACTTTTGGCCGATGGAAAGTTTCTACAATTCTAAAAATAAAGAATTCAAGATTATTATTATTTGTTTATTTATTTTTATTTATTTATTTATTTATTTTTTGCAATGGAGCCATAGAAAAAACATTTTAGCTCCTTGAATCTTTTAGTGAACAGTTATTAAAAGAACCATGTTTTACTTAGTATGAAGAACATTTTAATAATCTCAATACCGTTATTCTACATTAAAGAACCTTTTGTGCAGTGGAAAGGTTATTGAGATGTTTACAATTTTTCAAACAACAATTAGACAACAGAAAGGATTGCTATTTTTAAGAGTAGAGTATATGAATAAAAAAATTAACCAAACAATTAAACAAGATACCTTGCATCCATACTGAAGGGCCAGTTTGCTGAGATTGTCCTCATGGGAGATGTCCCGTTCCAGCAAGAGCATTTCTCCCACTCCTTCTTTCTCTTTTGAGGATGAATCTCTGCTCCTAGGCCTGAGCTCCATGACATTGAGTTCCTCATCTTCTGACGACGCTTCCGGTTCTTCTTGTCTGTGCCTGAACATATACACTTGGCCATCTGCACTGGCATGTACATCTACTGGAGCCTGAAAGGCTCGAGGGGGAGGATCTCCACGCCTCATCACTGCAACTAGACACATTTAAAAAGAATAAACATTTGGTCCCTTTACATACATACTGTATTAGTGTTAAATGGATCAGTATTTATTTGAATGAGTACATCCCCTGTTGAAAAAAATATATATTTTTTTATTAATTTCTCAGTGAATATATATTTTAGATATTTTGATGCACTTTATCAAACAGTTACATCTAGTAAAATAAGTTCGGAAATCTAAAATCTTTAGAAATAAACAGATTCAAATGAGTTATTGTTTAATTTTAACAATAATAATTAATAATTTTATATTTTATAATAAATGATAATTTTATTTTTTCTTTCTTTCTCTAAATTTTTCCTGTTCATTATAGTTTTATTTAATATTTTCCAACAACATACAGTATTAGAGTAGTTCCAGTTTTGGCTTTGGTACTGACTAATCTAATGTATATGCAAACATGTATTATTGTAAAGCATCCAATAGAAAATATGAATTTAAAAGAAAGATCTTTGAGGGGTGTACTGCTTTATGCTGAGCACTTCGTAAATAAATATATTACAATGTTAGATTAAAGAAATATATATTTATATCTAAAATAATAAGAAACTACTGTTTTCTGTTGAGCACTTAATATGATCAAATCATTTAATAGAGAGGAACATTTTTGTTGTACTGCTCTTTATAGCAACTTCTCACGCTAACCTTTTTTCAATCCCCTGTTACTATGGGAATTATTTGGGTTTATTTAATTGTGTTTATTAATTAGGATACATGAAACACTGTAGAACTGTTCATTACTGTCAAGAAAATCAAATTCTATGTGGGATGTTGCATACTGTTAGGTATTGCTAGTAAAACAGAAAAAATAAGATATTTTAGGGTGCAAAACAAGTGTTTTATTTTCCAACATTAACGTTATCATATCATAATCTGCAATCATGTCATGTCAGGCAAAGTTGCTCTTTGTTGTAATAAAATGTTTGCGACAAAGTTATTAACTAACTGAGAAACGCACAGCAGAACACGAAACAATGTATCATTGTTGATAAGTATGTAACTAATCTGCTGACGTTTGATATCGTGAACGCTTTCTGTTTCTACTTGTAGCCTATCACAAGAAAATCAGAGTTGTAAGCTGGTTATTATCTGGCCGAAACAACAGCAGTCAAGCCAATAACACCGTTACTTGAACTGACACTCTCTCCAAAGTTATTTTGTCATCCTAAAATTGAGCAAAGATCAAATTAAAACAAAACCAAAGCATATTTTATATAGGTTATCAATAAAATAGAGTATGTAAACAGTAATCACTTATAAAGGTTAAATTACAATAGCCGACACTCGTAAGCTTAAGTTCATGTTATCAACATCGAAGTTAAAGCCTACTTTTTCATAATTATCTCAGTTATTGAACTTAATCTAAATAGCTCTCACCTTTTTAGACAAAAACAGCAACATCGTGCCGACAAAAATATCCCGAAGTGTCATTTTAGAAAGTAACTTCACACCGCAACCGAGGGTGCTTGTGAGGGTGTAGATTGACAGGTCCTCCAGCCAATCAGCTCGTTGGAAAAGGCGAGTTCTCTACACCTATTACGTAAAAGATTGCTTGCGCTATACTTTTTTTTGGATAATGTAAGCCGCGTCTAGCTTCATATCAAAACCTGATGTCAGAAGGCTACTACAAATGGTAACATTAGATGATAGATTGACCGTGAGTTTGCCAAAAGTTAGCTATAAAGTTGTAAGTTTAAAGAGTTAAGTGTGGTTGAGGTCACAGGCGTTTCTTACGTGTCACGGCAGGATGTAGTAATTTACAGTAGGTGAGTCAATAGTGGGTGTTGCCTATAATGAAATACTCGCGCCTGTCGTTTATTAGTACTGTAAGTTACGTATTGAAATTTTATGTCAGTTCCTTCTTAATGCATTAATATTGATCTTGAAGGGATGTGAGAAGAATTTAGTGAAAACCTTTACTGAAGGTACGAACATTTCCCATGGTTTTCTAATAAATATGTAGCTATAGCAAGGCTATAATAAATGTGTAGGCCTAGTAAGCCTTTTGGCACACTGATTAGCCCACTTTACTATTTGTATATCCATAATTTACCTACAAATAGGCCTGCCATTAATCTGAATGGCTAGTGTAAGTTATCAAAACCACATGGCTGATTTTAATAATTGTACTTTAACTATACGCTAATAAACTTATTATTTGTTTATTATTATTTTTTGTGACGTTCTTATAAGGGGTTTTCATAAAGAACATTTTTAATAACAAAACACGCAATATAAAATACTAACATGTTTAGTGCATATATATACTACCGGTCAACAGTTTGGGTCAGTTTTTTTTTTTTTTTCATGTTTTTTTTTTAAAGAAAATTATTCTGTAAAAAAAATTAATTGTTAAATATTTATTAACATTTTAAATAACTGCTTTCTATCTAGTTTCAAAATTATTACTACTAATTATAGTCATTATTGCATTTATTACTATTACCATTATTAATAATAATAATAATAATAATAATAGAGTGATTTAGAGTAATGAAGCTGAAAATTCATCTTTAAAATCACTGGAATAAATTATTAAACGAGATTATAAACTACTTTTAAAGAGTAATGTTATAGTGAAAAATTATTTCACAACTTTTAAAGCATTTTTTATTAAATAAATGTAGCCTTGGTGAGCAGGATAAGTGTATTTTAAAACGTTTAAAAATCGTATTTAGCCCAAACAGGCAACACAGTGGCACAGTAGATAGTGCTGTAGCCTCACAGAAAGAAAGTCGCTGGTTCGAGCCTCGGCTGGGTCAGTTGGCGTTTCTGTGTGGAGTTTCCTCCGGGTGCTCTGGTTTCCCCCACAGTCCAAAGACATGTATCTGTGAATTGGGTAGACTAAATTGTCCATAGTGAATGAGAGTGTATGGATGTTTCTTAGAGATGAGTTGCAGCTGGAAGGGCATCCGTTGCAAAAAACACATGCTGGATAAGTTGGCGGTTCATTCCGTTGTGGCAACCCTAGATTAATAAAGGGACTAAGGTGAAAAGAAAATGAATGATTGAATGACTTAGCCCAAACATTTTGCAGGTAGTGCATATATATAAACACACAGACACAATTACTGGGGTTTCAGTAATATACTCCAATAATTGTAATTATACAACCAGCAAATACATCCGCACTGTATATGTATTCAAAAGCCAATAGCAGCAGTGGGCAATAACGATGCTGCTTTTACACTAATCTTCAAATGTGTCTTTTTTCAGCCAGGTTACAAACATGAATCTGCAGTGTGACACTGTGACCTGAGCTAATCATGGAAACTTTAAAAACCATCATGTGGTTTAGAAAATGGTGTGAATTCTGCAGAACCCATAAAGATATCAGTAAGTAAACAATTTGGTTATCATATAAACTTTCCCTGCCATGTTTCTCATAATCGTTTGTTTTATCTTCCATATAGATCAACATTTTTATAACAACATGAGGGTGAATTACTGATGACAGAATTGCATTTTTGGGTAAATTGATGTTTTAATCTAGGATCTTGTCAGGCTAAAAAAAAAAAAAAAAATTCTTGAAATATTTTTATGATAATTTAAGAAATTATACTTAAGGATCAGCCCCCAAAATTTTATTTTTAGCAATAATCCTTTTCCTGTCCTTCAGGCCATTAGGTTTTGCCTATTTGCTTTAAACCACTTACATAATAATGAAATTATTTATTTACACTTATTATTTATAAGCTATTCTTTTCATATATAATAATAAGTGCAGATCAGGAATTAAGATAAGTCATTTCATTAAGACATTTCATTTTCTCATCAATATAAATATTAAATTATTCTAACATATTAATTGATTTAACATATTTTGAATCTTTACAGTAGACACTTTATCTTATTTTTCCCCCATGTATATAAAGACTCTATTGTAAATTTAAATTTGATGTAGAAAATTGGTCACTCATCTTTGGCTCATGCCAGTATCTTTTCACTTCTCACTTTAACCTTAAGATGGCGCCATGTATCTTCAATAGTTTCAAACCAATTTGCTTCAGGATGGTTCAGGGCAAAGCATTTTAAACCTCTGTTTGCCAAAGGTCCGTGTCCCTCATTCACCTCCTTTGTCAGAATATTCTTTGTCAGCATCAGAGGAAGTTGTCTGCCCCGGTCCAGGAGTCAATTACCATGGCGGGGCAGTGTCAGAGCGGGCAGTGATACTGAGGCGCTGCTGATGTGCTTCAGGTCGCCTTAGTCACTCCTGCTAAAGCACAGGTCAACGCTCAGGCTTTGCGGCTCATGATGGAGGACATGAGCCTGCCGGAGCTCATTCATATTTGGACACTGATGTAGGGAGCCCTGGGACATTTGTCAGTCCTCTTTAAGATAGACTAGATGGGTTTGTTTGAGCAGATATTTGCCCTCTGCTTGCCATTATGGGGCCAATGTATATAAATGATATAAATTTTGGTTATAGCAGGTTTGGGGTCTTTATTTTATTTTTTTAAATACTTGAAAGGCACAGTTCACCCAAAAACAAAAATTGTTATCATTTTTTTCATGCTCAAGTTGTTGGTTATTAAACAGTTGGACAGGCAATTGACTTCCATAGTGTTTTTTCCTAGTATACTATGGTAATCAATTGTTACATCAAAGTTATTCAGAGTTCAAAGGTATTATTGTCTGGATTTGCCAATATGCTACTGCTTTGAGCAAGTTGTACTTTACAGTATGTTCAAATTTATTATACCACTGAAAACATGTTTTTTTAAACGCAATATTATCCAATAATTTTAATGCAGCTGATTTATGACAGTGTTCTTGAGCTAAGTATTTTTTTTTTCAATCAGAATTGAACGCATGGTCACGGGACCCGCTTAAACTGTCAAATCTGAATTAATTCAGTATTAATTAATACATTACAACATCTGTCATCATTCAATGTGCACTGTTCCTTACCACCCGAAATTAAAATCAATAAAGGACCCACAAAGCCAATGAGATAACTCATTAATTGATGTTGGTGAAGTATTTCATGTGAGAGCACTGGAATGCATTGAATTCTTGCAATTTGCATTTTCAATAATTGTACAATAAGCAAGTACAGTATAAAATAGGCTTTATGGAATTATTTTTGTTTTGCATTCATCTGGGTAATGCAAATTTGTGAAAATATGCATGTAAATTCAGGTCAAAGCTCACCACAGCAATGTAAACAGTCAAAGCGACTGTCAAAGTATAAGTCAAAAATCTCAGTAAATATAATATTGTAATAATATAATAAAGAGGAATTTACTTTTTACAAATACAAATAATACATCACTCATTTTAATCAGCAATTTGGTTTATCAAAATAAATATCTAATTAAAATAAGTAGTAATATTTGGTAGTTTTTTTCTTTTACCAATTATATAACAGCCCACAGTAAACGGCAAGTATATAGACTATTCAAGCACAACAGTGCAGTTAACCTTCCCAGTGCAATCCTTCCAAGAACTGGGCATATGTGCATTCTCAGTGGCAGATTACACAGACGACATGATCTGATGAGCATACAAGCTGTTATCTGGGTCAGCGCTAGTCTCCAATTTCACGCCCTGAAACATCCATCATATCTGTATTGTTCCTCTCAACAGAGTTTACTGACCTTTGTTTCTTGACACAAGCAAACTGCCACCAAATTTTCCTCACCATTTCTATAGATTAGCATGTTTGCTTAGCATGTGTTTGTAGCGTAGCGTAGCGTGCTAATGCAGTGGAGCCTGTGCTAATTGAAGCGTTGCATATTTTATTGCTTTCCACTCCTATGAACTGTTGACATTTAGCCTAACTGACCTTATGATTTATATATAGCTCTCTGAAGCCACTTAAGCTGTTAAAAATAAGTAAAGCATTTTTTAATATACAGTAAGTTAGTCATTTTTTTACACATTTCTGTTCATGTCCACTGTAAAAATGAGCAATCAGCTGACCTTCAGTTGACCCCATAGGCCTATAATATTACAAATATACCACTAAAGCACAGCTGACCTATTTTCTACATAAATGCGCCATGAGAATTTAAACCTAATGTCTAAAAAAATTGCATTAGTATTATTTACATCAAGTAGATGCTTAGGAATTGTATTGCCTCTGATTTAATCTGTAACTGATTCAAGGCAGCAGATAGCAGCCGGACACTTTTGGTTTTAATCTTCCCGACAACGTCTTCATCCAATGCAAAAAGCTCCCTGAAGGGGGAGCAGGCGCAAATGTGACAAAACAAAAATTAGCACAGAGCAGCACATCATATCATTTACATCACATTCAGATGCAGGGTGCAACTCTGAACACGGTGCAACAGAGTGGCATAACATGCTGTGTTTCTGGGCCACTGAGCAGCACGTCAAACTGACAGAGAGAGAACAAAAAGATGGAGAGAGTCGCAGAGAGAGAGAGGGGAAGGTCAGATGCAATGTAACAATGAATAATTTGTGGATAGTACTGCAGAATGCAACAGAATCTTAATCATGATATATTTATTTATCTATTTACTTAACTGCACATGTACATTCAATTATGTATGTATATTATTATTAGTAATATACATTAATTTAAAAAAATATTGTTTATATTTAAATTATATTTAAAGTTTTGCTTTCATAAATTTTAGGTTAAGTAGAAACTTGTATTCCCATTCATTTTAAGCTGGTTTGTTTCATATTTGAGGTAATCAAATACATTTACAAAAATATATGATATTAATGCATAATTATGGGGCTTCACAGTGGCGCAGTTGGCAGCACAATCGGCTCACAGCAAGAAGGTCACTGGTTTGAGCTTCGGCCGGGTAAGTTGGCATTTCTGTGTGGAGTTTGCATGTTCTCCCTGTGTTTCCTCTGGGTGCTCCAGTTTCCCCCACAAGTCCAAAGATGTGCACAATAGATGAATTGGGTAAGCTAAATTGCCCATAATGTATGTGTATGAATGAGTGTGTATGGGTGTTTTCCAGTGATTGGTTGCCGCTGGAAGGGGATCCACTGCGTAAAACATATGCTGGATATGTTGGCGGTTCATTCCGCTGAGGTGACCCCAAATTAATAAAGAGACTAAGCCGAAAAGAAAATGAATGAAAGATACATAATTATACATAAACTGTTGTGAAAGAAAGTTATGTTTGACTCCAGAGAAAACAGAAAACCATAAAGATGAAGGATTTATAAGACCATAACAATCTGAACAAATGTATCTTGTATTATAGGATATATGTATTGTTATTATTTTTGTGTATTCATGTTTTAATAAAAAATATTTTAAATTATGTAGATACTTTTACATATTATTCCTAAATTGTTGCCATAGCTTACCATTAGGACTTTAGGATTCTGTGTAGAAACACGTAGAAACTTAGCAACTTTGTTCTCACTTATTCACTGCAACCAAATAAATTTTTTTTTTAATATATATAGTTTATTAAATCCATGGATGTCTTTGAATGACTCTGATCTTGTATTTTCATGTTTCATGTCATTCAACCACTAGATGGCAGCGTAGTCCTTTCAATTTTAAGTATACTTTGAACCAGATGTTATTTTTCCAACATACTGTAATCAGAAAGAAACACACACACACACAAAACAAATGCACTATTTTATGTTGTATCCTAAATAAATTGCAGCTATCCGTGTTTGTATAATTTCAACATACTTCCTGTATTAATTTCAATGTCAAAACTTCAATCTCCATAACCCTTATTTTAACAGACCCTACAGATCCTCAAATATAGACTTCAATCGATTAAACACTCCTTAAAAATAGCATCTTTTTAGGAAGAAAAACTGCTGTTGTTTGTTTATGCTCGCTGCATGTCCATGTTCATGTTTCTGGCACAGGTGATTTGCCGATCAGCGTGAGGCCAGTCGTTGTGTCTGCGGGGGGTCAGCGGAGGCAGTGTGGGGAAACAAAATTAATCCTTGTGGCTTTAGGTTATGGCAACAGGTCAGGAGTTTATTGATTAAATGTCAGCTAGCCAGGTGAATGTGATTCGTAACTCTGAGGAGGCCCCTCCGCGCGATCCATCACATGGTATACAAAGGAAGATTAAAGGCCGTACAACAGACTAAACACTTTCAGGCCAGATGAAGGTTCTGGTGATCTGTCTGTCTGTCCATCTGTCTATTTCGGATTTCAAAACTCAGCATTGCAGATAAATTTACCCCTAAAACAATGCTTGTTGCCATTGATGGGCCAAACCTATATGGGATCATTCAAAATTGGAAGATTTCAAAGAGTACAATGGACATTTTTTACTCATGAATCTTTGTGTGTATATTTTGTGACAGATTATACATGATGTAAAAGTGTTCGAGGGATTTTTGTTTGGGTCCTTTACAAGCTTCATCCAACCGAATCTCACTCTGGAGGGTATAGGATTGACCCCTTTTAAATGGAACGCAGCCCAAGTCTTTCAAGTTGACATGAAATGAAAGTTGTCACAATAGGGATAAAAAGGCTATCACATGTATCGAAGGGAAAGATCTTCTTAGACAATAAAAAATGTAGGATGGGACTTGACTTTGTAACATGAGTCTTTGAGCATGATTAAATTGTAAAGCATATGACGCAAGATGATGCAAAAATATGTTCCAGAGTACAGATTTTTTAGCCTCTACACCTTTTATCCAACTGAAGCTTTCACTCTGGAGGGTAAAACCCTTCAAAGGGATTAGGGCACAAGAATAAGCCTTCTGGAATCAAATGTCCAAGTCTTAATAGTCGACATGAAACAGAAGTTGCAATAGTCTTTTCTTCTCTATTGTGACTTGTATCTGAGTGAAACACCTTTTTGAACAATGGAAAATGTAGAATGGGACTTGACTTTGACGCATGATTCTTTGCAGATTTTTAATTTGTGAAACATATGATGACTTCAATTTCATTTTAGTTTAATTTCATATTTGTAGCACATTTCCAACAACTCGAGTTGGCCATTAAAGCAACATCCAAAAAGTCAAACCAAGACAATAAAGACACATTCAACCATTTACTCATGGCAATAAGAGCAGCCTCATAATGTCTAAAATCCAAAAGCAAAGTCTTCCAAATAACGGGTGAAGCAACAGACCATGAACAGTCCTCTTTAGATTTTAAACAAATTTTTTTCACCTTTTAAAATAACACATAAGATGACATCAGTGGCCTTGACATCTTATAGAACTGCAGGAAATCCAAAATATATTTAGCAGCCAGACCGTGTAAGAGTTTAAAAATGTACATAAAACTTTGTACACTGAAATTACATGGGAGTCAATGGGAAACACTGCCCTGCTTCAAAGTTATTCCAACCTTGACAATATAAACGTTGGTATAATTTGCTTCAGGTCATTAAAGGACAAAATGATGTGATGCAAATCATGCAAAAGTATCATTTGGTCCCCACAATCTGCATCTCTTGCTCTGAATTGTAGACCATTTGAAGGAATTGGGTGTTCAGTCTCTGTCCTGGAGGGCAACTCTCCTGCAGGGTTTACCTCTAACCTGCCTCAACACACATATCTGGAGGTTTTAGTACAGTATGCCTAGTTTAGGGGTGTCCAGACTTATTCCTAAGGGCATTGTCCTGAGGCATCCACATTTGTTTTGGGGGGGTTCCTGTACTGCAGAGCTCCTGTTCTAATGAAGCACACCTTAATCAGCTAATCAAAGTCTTGAGAGTCTTTAGCAATTTCTAAGGAAGAGGTTTGCTGGATGGAGTTAAATTCTGAAGGACAGTAAACCTCCCAAAACTAGATTAAACATTCATGCCATTGTAAAACCCTGATTAGTGGTTTTATTTGTGTTTAGTTAGGGTAGGAGCCAAAATGCAGCATAGCGGCCCTTCAGGAAAATAATTGACAGCCCTAGATTAGGGTGTAAGGATGAGCTCTTCTGAATACTACACAACCTTTAAAGTGTACATGAATGGAAATACAATTTTTTTTCCTCTTTACTGTGGCATGCCTCCCAGTGAAAGACCTTCCTGAAAAATTTTATTGTGGGGCAGGAATTGATTTTGTCTGTCAGGGCCTTATTGTGCTTGAAAATTTGTAGAAGACAATGTGTATAGACTCAGCGGTTTAAAAGGCCCCACAGTGAAATCTTTGGTAGTTAGGCGGATATACCCTCATTCCAACCCAGGCTCATTAGGATCACGTACCCAAATATACATTTCTGGAGAGTGCCAAATACATCCCAGGAGCTATGTTTTTTTGCAGTTTTTGCTTTTTGCAAATCCATCAGAGGCCGCTGTGTATGCTTTTTAATATCTCAAGTTTCTCTTTCAAGTGCCATTCGTGCCTGCTCTTCTGCTTTAAATCCATTGATCTACTGACTGACTGACTGCACCAACTGACCAATAATAATCTAGTCAAATATTATTCACTGTCATCATGGCAAAGGTAAAATAAATGAATTATTAGAAATGAGTAATTAAAACTGTAATGTTTAGAAATGTGTTGAAAAAAAAACTTCTCTTTATTAAACAGAAATTGGGAAAAAAAATAACATGAGGGGCTAATAATTCTGACTTCAACTGTATACAGGGCTACGTTTTCAGAATGAATCTACAGTATGTTGTCTTTTTCAGTGCCTATGCTTTATCGTACCTTAAGTTATGAGTGACAAAATGTTTTTGTTTTAAAAAAGCTCCTTTGCTCACAAAATGAAAACCATCACAACTTTTTGATGCTAAATTTATTTCTTTAGCTCAACTGTGACAAAATAAAATACCTTGGATGGAAGGATTTCATAGGCAACAAAAGAAACATCTACAAAAATCAATGAGGATGAATATATCTCAGTACACAGGATGTAACATGACAAGCCTTGTTGCCTTCCTTCACAGGCAATATTCTTCAGCTTCCAGGCACAGCTGAGATGACGTGGCAAGAGGGATCCTTTAAAAGTTATTTTGATCAAAGATTAAACAAATGTAAAAATATACACTCTTATATCCCTTAAAAAATAGAAAGTGTCAATTCTGATCTCACAGAACCTTTAATGTCAAAACCGTAATCCCACAGACAGCCCCCCATTCCCTCGAGAAAGGTGCGCATGCCATCATAAGCGAATTTGATTGACAAGTGTACTTGAAGGCCAAGGTTAATGGTGTTGACATAGAAACCATTCAGCGGGTTAAGGGCTCGAATGAGAGTTCTGAAGATCATGCTCTCTTTGTCAAATTAAACTCTTTGCATTTGCTCTCCGTCGAGCATGCAGAGCAGAGCTGTCGGCATCCTCAGGGTTGTGGTGAAGTTATCCACTGACTCCAGCCATCCAGAGGATGCGCTGCAAGGGATTTCAAAGTCGCATTTGGCCCAAAGCACCCATGGAGCCCCAGTTGGACGGTCTCTTTACCCTAGAGGTAGGTTCACAGGGCATACTGGAGTCCACTGTAGCTTGGAGCGCTGGGTGACACATAACCTTGCCCTGTCACCACCCTCACCAGTGTGTCAGCTGATATTAGACTGATTGACGTTGACCCGCCACTCAGGCTCTGAGGGTTTAGCGGCACTGTATAACCTCGCCCTGACTGTTCACCAGGGTGAGGACATTGGAAGCAGGGCATCCTCAGCTGTGTCCTACTCCCAAACAAGGGCGAGCGCTTCTGTCGTGTTATAAGAATTACGAATGCCCTCTTTGATTTGTAGATTTTTCGGGCATGCACATTACCATATCACATGAGCGCCGCAGTATTTTGTGTGCTGTCTGCTGATTTTATTTTATTCCTTTTCTTTTAAAGTTTGCTTTGTTTATGTGTTTTTTTTTCTTCGCTACTGATTAAG